GGGGGGCATAGTCTGAAAACTGGGGCATAGTCTGATAACTGGGGGCATAGTCTAGGATCAGTTGTTAATTTTAAATCTGAGATTGATAAATTTCTGTTAAGCAAAGGTGTTAAGAGAAATGAGCCAACAGCAGGTGGATGGAACAAAAACAAAGTTGCTGGAAAAGCTCAGCAGGCCTGGCAGCATCTGTGAAGGAAAAAACAGAGTTAATGTTTCGGGTCCGGTGACCCTTCCTCAGAGTAGTTCCTCAATTCTGAGGAAGAGTCACCGGACCTGAAACGTTAACTCTGTTTTTCCCTTCACAGATGCTGCTGAGCTTTTCCAGCAACTTTGTTGTTGTTCCTGATTTACAGCAACAGCAGTTCTTTTGGTTTTTATTTAGGAGGTGGATGGAGTTAGGCCACAGATTAAACATGATTGCATTGAACGACAGAACAGAGTTGAGAGGTTGAATGGCTCTTTATGTTCCTATGGACTCCCGTACAGAATAGTTGCGCTGAATGCCCTATTTCTGTGTTGTATATTCAATGTAATATTTTTTAACCCTCTGAGCTCCTTGATTAGATTCCAGTATAACTCACTCCTGGTATCTGTTATTTCTACATATCAACTCCTAGAACCCCCAGTTAGACTCTAGTCTGTAACTCACTACCCCAACATCAGCTGTGTTATTTATAAAGCACTGTACAATTGATGATCAGGAGTTTTTTTTAGATGGGTTAATAAACTGCAGAATATTTTGTTCACAGACATTTCCCACCAATTGAACATTTCTGTGTCACATTTCACTGTTAAAACAGCCTGATTTCAGTCCAGAGGGAGTACTGAAGTCTAGGACTGATGGTGTAGGGTGTGACATCAGGTCAAACTATAATTTCTGGCTGATCTTTGGGAATCTGAAATGGCCACATGAAAACACTATAAATCTTAGAATTTTTCTAATGAGCCAAAACATGGAGCAGGAAGAGAGGAATTTATACCTTAGTATCTAAAGCTAGCTGCTGGGTGAGAGCATTGACACTCTCCAAATGATGAAGGTAGGCTTGTGTGTGTGTGTGTGTGTGTGTGTGCGTGTGTGTGTGCGTGTGCGTGTGTGTGTGTGTGTGCGTGTGTGTGTGCGTGTGTGCGCGTGTGTGTGCATGCGTGTGTGCGTGTGTGTGTGCGTGTGTGCATGCGTGTGTGCGTGTGCGTGTGTGTGCGTGTGTCTGTGTGTCTGTGTGGTGGGGAGGGGGTGGGGGGTTGGTTCTTATCTGTGTCCGTAACCACAGCCTTCCCACACCATTTTCCCCAGGATAAGGAGCTGCAGCTGGGGACAATATACAATATACAGAGGAGGTGGTGGAGGCTGGTATAATTAGAACATTTAAAAGGCATCTGGATGGGTACATGAATAGGAAGATTTTAGAGGGATATGGGCCAAATGCTGGCAAATGGGACTTTTCATACCCTAGTCTATAGACACTGATTACAACTGAAGATTCAGTCAGACAGCCCAATATCTGATCATTGCTTATCTACTCAGTTATCAGTTCTCTGCTGCTGCTTCCTGCCCTTATCTGCCATTACTTTATTAAGAGTCAGCCAGGTTGTTGCAGGACTATAATCACTGTCAGGTCAGCCTGGAAAGGAAGAACACAGCAGGCCAGGCAGCATCTGGAGGAAAGGAGCAGTCAACATTTCAGGTATTACCCTTTTTCAGAGTCTTCAAGAAGGGTCATACCCCAAACATTGACTGCTCCTTTCCTCCAGATGCTCCCTACCTTGCTGTGTTCTTTCAGCCTCCTGTTTGTCCACCTTGGATTGCAGTATCTGCAGTTTTGTTTTTGTCTCTAGCCTGGAAAGGAAGTCAAGTATTTTTTGCCTGAAAAGAATGAGGAAATTTCCAGGATTCATATAACAATCCAATGGCTTCATGGTCGCTTTTACTGAGACCAGTCTTTGTAAAATGGATTTCAATTCTCCAACTTCCAGACATTCGATATTAGAGTAATCAGTCCCCAGTTTCCGGCCAATGTACCAGGAATAGAAAAGTGTAATTAAGACTGTGAACAATACACAGCAATCAAACAGGCTGCACCTTTGACAGTTCTCCACAACATCACGTTCTCATTTCACAGCTGGGTGACGGAATTAACGCAGTAAATTAGATGGGGAAAGGCTCTGGTGAATTTTATGTGAAATGGCCAGATTGATGAGAGCCTTTAACTGACATTTGCCCAACTGGGAGCGTGTTTTATCATGGATGAGGATTGGTTATTCAAAAGCTTGTCAGGCTGTGGTTCAGTGTTATTTCTCTGAGTTGGAAGGTCATGGCCACAAGTTCCATCCAGAGATTTGAGTGGTGAATCCAGGCTGAAACTTGTACTGAGGGAGAGCAGCACTGTCAGAGGTGCTGCTCTTTCAATGAGACATTAAGCTGACGTCTGATCGTTCCTTTCAGGTGTAATAAATCCATGTCCATTATTTGAAGAGGGGCAGAGGGCTACAGCATGGTATATTGGATAATATTTGATCACTTAACTGACATCACAGAAAACAGAATATCTGCTTATCATTACAGTGTTGTTTCTGGGAGCTTGCTGTTTGCAAATTGGCTGCTACATTTCTGACATTATAACAGTCACAACAATCCAGAAACTATTTCACTAACTGTAAAACACTTTATCGTTTGACATATATTGCATTCTGAACAGATGGATTGATTACCTGAGTGACCAATAGTGGTGGAGAGGGAATGTTGCCTCAGCAATGGGCCAATAGATAAACATTTAACATTTTCAGGGTATTACATCCTTGTTTGGGTCTGACCGATGGCTTAAAAAGTAATTCCCGCTCTGCATGTGGGATTTTTGTTTTAACCAGATGAGCAACAAACGGTCTAACAGCTTCCGCCGTGCTATCCATTTGGGAAATCGCCGTCTCCGTGCCAACTCAGTCCTTGAAGAAACCGGCCTCACGATATCTCAGCGATTTATCCGACACATCGCCTACGAGACCCTGCCCCGGGAACTAGACCGCAAGTGGTACTATGACAGCTACACATGCTGCCCCCCACCCTGGTTTATGATCACTGTTACCCTTCTGCAGGTCAGTAGTCAATGCTTCGAGAAATCAGTGACAGCCTTTTAACCACATATCGTCACCACCAGTATTCACCTTCATAGCACAGTGTAACTGTGTCCCAGCCTCCACTCGATCCCTCTGAAACCCTCATCAATACCCTTGTTACCTCCAGACTCAACAATTCCAATTATCCAAGGCCAGTTTCTCATCTTGCACCTTCTGCCAACTTGGTGCCCATACCCTTGCTCGGACGATGTCCTGTTCACCCATTACCCCTTTGCTCACTGACCTACATGGGCTCCCAATCCAGCAATGCTTTGGATTTGAAAGTTTATGCTTGTCTTCAAATCCTTCAGTAGCTTCTCTCCCTCCTTCTCTCTGTAATCCCCTCCAGCACTATAACCTACCAAGATCTCTGCACTTCTCCAATTCTGGAGAATTTTCAAACTTTTCAAAGCTTTTCAAACTTTCCAATTTTCCTCTCTTCATTTTTGGTGGCTGCACCTTCAGGTGGCACAGTCATAATGTCACTGATTAGTAATCCAGAGGACCCAGGCTATTGCTCTGGGGTCATGGGTTCAAACCCCACAGCAGCTCATGGATTTAAAACTGGTCTGATGGTGGCTATTAAACTCACTTTAAAAACCCATCTGGTTAATTAATGTCTTTTTAGGGAGGGAAATCTGCTGTCCTTACCCAACCCGGCCTACATGTGACTCCAGACCCACAGCAATGTGGCTGACCCTTAAAAGGTCTAGTGAGGTACTCAATTGTATTAAACCAGAACAAAGTCCAATAAAAGGCATGAAACCAGATGGGGCACCTGAAATGATAATGTCAAACCCTGTGACCCTGCGAAGTTCTCTATATTAACATCATGGACAATGTCCCAGAGGCCACCATCATCCCTGGGTATGTCCTGTGCCACAGTAGGGCTGATACTGTGGTATGATGTATCACAGTAATGAGAGAGGTGCCTTGGAAGTCCTCAACATTGACATTGAGCACCATAATGTCTCATGGTATCAGTTCAAATGTGCAAACAAACTAATTGCCATTTGCCTCCTACTGCACACCCCTTGGCTGATGGACCAGTACTCCTGCATGGTGAAGACCACTTGGAGGAAGCACAGAGGGTGGCAAAGGCTTAGAATGCATTCGGGGTGGGACACTTCAATGGGTCTGTGGTGCAGAATCAACAAGAGGGGAAAGCATGCTTGACCTTGTCCTCACCAATCTGCCTGCTACAGATGCATTTGTTCAGTATTGGGTAAGAATGACCAGTGCACAGTCCTTGTGGAGACAATGTTCCAGTTTCACATTGAGGATATCCTGCACTGTGTTGTGTGGCACTATCACTGTTCTAAATGAGACAAACTGATCTAGCAACTCAAACCTGGGCATCCATATAGCTCTGTGAGCTGTCAACAGGTGAACTGTATCAGCTATAAGCCGTAACTTCACGGTCCAGTATATTCCCCACTGAACCATTACCATCAAGCCAAGGGATCAACCCTGGTTCAATGGAGAGTGCAAGAGGGCATGCCAGGAGCAGCACCAGGCATATCTGAAGGTGAGGTGTCAACCTGGTGAAGCCACCAAACAGGACAACTTGCATTTGGAAATTCTGCAGCCATATTCTGCAGTTGTTCCAACAATACTCAAGAAACCCAATACCAAAGCAGCCCATTTTGCCCATTTGATTTGATCTCTGCCACCACCTTCAAAACTCACTCCCTCTCCCACCAGTGCACAGTGTCGATACTGTGTGCAATTGCCAAGATTCACTGCAGTAACTCACCATGAAGGCAACACCTTCCAAACATGTGACCTCTACCATTCAGAAGGACAAGGGCAGCAGGTACATGGGAACACCACGCCCTGTAAGTTTCCCTCCAAGCCACTCCCCATCCTAACTGGGAAATATATCGCCGTTCCTTCACTGTCACTGGGTCAAGATCCTGAAATTCCCTCCCACGGGGCATTGTGGGAGATCATGGGCACAAGTCCCACCCCAAAGGCTTGAGCAGAGAATCCAGGCCGAGACTTGTACTGAGGAAGTGCCGCACTGTCAGAGGTGCTGCTCTTTGGATGAGATACCCCGGTGGTTCAAGAGGTCCACCAACTTCTTGAGGGCAGTTCAGGATGGGCACTAAATTTGGCCTAGCCAGCAACGCCCAATGTGTGAATACTTTTGTGAAAAAGGTGAAGTGTGAGCAGATGGTAATGCAGCATCTCTGATCTGCTCTGTATTCGACAGATTGCCATCTTTGTCTATTATGGGTTGGCCCTGGAGAAGTGGGTCCTCCAGATCACACACCCTTCATATCTGAACAACCCACTAGTCTACCATCCACAGCTCCGCAGGCAAGTCTGGCGCTACCTCAGCTACATCTTCATGCATGTCGGGTGAGTAGCTGTTCCAGACTGACTGACTGCTTCTCTCACATCATCTGTGTACCCCATGTGGAGTGAGTGCAGGAATGGGAATGATTACAATGGTAATTACAGCACAGACAGGGAGTGGGGACACCAGTCCTCTGATTACCCAATTCATCTCCTTCCCTCTCCTCTTAACCACATAGCCCAAAAAATACTTTCTTTTTAAATATTCATCCATTTCCTTTTTGAATGTTGCCAGTGCTCTCAGACAGGGCATCTTGCAGTGTAGAAATATTTCCCCACAACCTTCCATTTTTTGCCAATTATTTCCAATCTGCGTTAATCTAGTTACCAACCACCTTCATCCAGTGAAATCAGTATCTCCTCCTTTACTTGACCAAATTTTCCCATAACCTTCTCTGCTGTAATGAAAACAATTCCAGCTTCTCCAGCCTCTCCACGTTACTGGAACCATTGCTCAGCATGACCATTCTAACAAATTCTCTCACTGGATATATCTGCAAGCAGTGATGGGGGTTGAGGGGTCTCATTAGCATCCTGTGGAATTGGGTCAGTTCCTCATCATCGCTCTAAGAGGTAAAGCCTCTGTTGAAGAGAGCAATGTGACTGTGACTGTGCAAGTTCTTTATTCCAGAGTCGAGCACCTGGGCTTCAATGTGGTGCTGCAGCTGCTGGTTGGAGTTCCTCTCGAAATGGTGCATGGTGCTCTCCGCATTAGCTTCATCTACCTCGCTGGCATACTTGCAGGTAATGGTCCAAGGAAAGCCACATCCCAGGATCACCCAGAGTCCTGAAAGTGTTTGATGAATTGTCCCTAATGTAGTTCCTCATTTCAAAGTGGCTGAGTTTATGACTAATTTGTGTGCACAGCAAATTCCCACAAATAGCATCAAGATAACATTTTAAAACCACCTTTCATGGTACAGAACTTGGGGGTATTACTGAAAAAGGTACATTTTGTTGAATGTTGTGCTCATCAGGACAATTTTCAAGAATACCAAGGAAAACAACATTTTATACCCTATGAGAGTGCCGATAGGTTGGCAAGTGGACTCTGGTCATGGTGTTGCCAGGGAGAATATATCAGTTAGGTGATGAGTGACAGTTAACTGACAACCTTTGTCTAAATTGGGTTGACTGATTGGCCAAGGCTTTGCCCTGAGAAATGTACAACAGAGTGGCTCTCACCTAGCTCCTGGCTGTAGTAGACTCGGAGCCTGGACTCTTGGTGGTGGTGGTAGGTCCAGAGCAGTGAATCCTGGCTGCTGTAGGCCTGGAGCAGGGATTCTTTGCTGCAGTAGGCCCAGAGCAGTGACTCTTAGTTGTGGTAGGCCCAGAGCCATGACTCCTGGCTGTGGTAGGCCTGGAGCAGGGGACCCCTGGCTGTGGTAGGCCCGGAGCAAGAACTCCTGGCTGTGGTAGGCCTGGAGCAGGGATACCTGGCTGTGGTAGGCCCGGAGTACGGACTCTTTGCTGCAATAGGCCCAGAGCAGTGACTCTTAGCTGTGGTAGGCCCGGACCGGGGACTCCTGGCTGCGGTAGGCCCCAAGCGAGGACTCCTGGCTGTGGTAGGCCTGGAGCAGGGACACCTGGCAGCTGCAGGCTCGGAGCAGGGTCTCCTGGCAGTGGTAGGCACAAAGCAAGAACTCCTGACTGCAGCAGGGACCCCTGGCTGTGGTAGGCCCGGAGCAGGGAAACCTAGCTGCAGCAGGCCTGGAGCAGTGACTCCTGGCTGTGGTAGGCCCGGAGTGGGGACTCCTGGATGTGGTAGGCCCGGAGCAAGGAACCCTGGCTGTGGTAGGCCTGGAGCAGGGACACCTGGCTGTAGCAGGCCTGGAGCGGGGTCCCCTGGCTGTGGTAGGCCTGGAGCAGGGACACCTGGCTGTGGTAGGCCTGGAGCAGGGACTCCTGGCTGTGGTAGGCGCAGAGCGAGAACTCCTGGCTGCAGCAGGCCTGGAAGCGGGGACCCCTGGCTGTGGTAGGCTCAGGGCATGGACTCCTGGCTATGGTAGGCCCGGAGTAGGGACTCTTTGCTGAAATAGGCCCAGAGCAGTGACTCTTAGCTGTGGTAGGCCCAAAGCCATGACTCCTGGCTGTCGTAGGCCCGGAGCGGGGATTCCTGGCTGCGGTAGGCCCCAAGCGAGGACTCCTGGCTGTGGTAGGCCCAGAGTAAAAACTCCTGGCAGCAGCAGGCTCAGAGCAGGGACTCCTGGCAGTGGTAGGCACAAAGCAAGAACTCCTGACTGCAGCAGGCCTGGAGCGGGGACCCATGGCTGTGGTAGGCCCGGAGCAGTGACACCTAGCTGCAGCAGGCCCGGAGCAATGACTCCTGGCTGTGGTAGGCCCGGAGTTGGGACTCCTGGCTGTGGTAGGCCCGGAGCAAGGACTCCTGGCTGTG